AAGTCTGGTTTTGAGCCTTATTTACATGTTTTCTCATTTCACCTGGGGCGGGGGGCTGTTAGCGCCTTCACGGATTACCTCCTCTGAGCTGGGAGAGGTGGGACAGGGGCTAGGAGCAGTGGTAGGTTTGGTGGCCCAAAAGCCCTTTCCTCTGGGCTGGGAGGAGCAGGAAGGATGGTGGCTGGGAAGCCCCTTCCTCTGGTCTAGGGGCAGTGGGATGGTGGCTCAGAAGCCCCTCCCTCTGGGCCGGGAGCAGTGGGAGGGATGGTGGCCAGGAAGCCCCTTCCTCTGGGCCAGGAACAGTGGGTCGGTGGCTCAGAAGCCCCTACCTCTGGGCTGGGAAAGCAGGACTCAGTACCGTGGTCTGGTGGTCCGGTGTCCTCTCTGTCTTTGTAGTGTGGAACCAGGTAGCTGTACAGAAGAGTGTGGGGGTGGGTGTCCAGTGGATTGTTGTCCTGTGCAGGCTGATTCGGTGTGTTCCATGTGACTTGGGACCTCGGTAGGATGTCAGCAGACCTGCCTGTCTGTAGGGGGCTGATTCCAAGCTGATATTTTCTTATAAGTAGATATTTGGGTAATCATTTTAAAACTGATTTGTTAAATACTTAAAAATGTTTAAAATTGTTAGAATATAGGGAGACAGGCAAGAATCCTGTAGAAACCCCCATAAAGCTAGTAATAAAAATGTCAGTCATAAATAAATGCTTGTAATATCTCTAGTCATTGCATGTACACCTGTATTTACCTTCTGTCTCCATACACCATTTGTTATGAATCATCAACTGCTATGCATCACCGTCTTAGACTGCTATAACAAAACACCATAGACTGAGTGGCTTAAACAACAGATATTTATTTCTCGAAGTTTTGGAAGCTGTGAAATCCAAGATGTTGGCAGATTCAGTGTCTGGCAAAGGCTCACTTCTTTTTTCATAGCCAGTGCCTTCTGCCTGTGTCCTCACAAGGAGCGGTGGTGGGGTGGGGTGGGGTGCCCGTGCTGTAGTCTCTCTTCCCTTTTTTTAAAAAGGATACTAACCCCATGCTGGGGGCTCATCTTTCATGACCTCATCTAATCCTAATATCTCCTGAAGTTTCCACCTCCAAACGCTGTCACATTGGAGCTTCAACATTAGAATTTGGGGGAATACAAACATTCATCCCTTAGTACCACCCTTCATATTTATTACTATAATCATGATTTGACATGAGTGACAGGTCTCCAAGATACTCCTTTTCCCTCCAGTCACCTGTTTTCTCTTCTTCCTCATCAGGGCTGAGTACTCAGAGCATAGTCTCTCCATTCTGGACATTCATCCCCAACTCCATGTTTTACTAGAGATACCTTCTGTTCAGAATCATCACAAGCAGCTGGCCATGGTGCCCAAAGTGAAGAGCCTGGCTGTGCTTTCCTGGAGCCCCCAGGACTGGACAGCTACCTGCTCAGTAGTCACTTGGTGGAACAGCCTCACTCTGCTCTTGAAAATAAAAACCATGTGCACCAGCATTCCTAGAACTCTCCAATCTCTTATTGTGATTGCTCTGCTTGCATTTGAAAATGACCTGTGCAGTTGCCTAAAGCTGATTCTCCTGGAGGCCAACTGTCCAGTGCTAACTGGCACTAGTCAAATGATGGCCTCGTCAGTACAGCTGGGTGGGCTCAGATGGCCCACACTGTTCCTTTAGCTCCTGGTAACCAGGTCTGTGCCAAGAGTTTCTGAAATCCAGCCTGCTATCACAGCATGGGCGGGCTTGAGAGTAAGGGTCACAGACTGCAGGGAGGGTCATGATTACTGAGAGCCACTGTGGGGTGTGGGACGTGGATTAGTGGCTTCTGGAGGTGTGGAAGATGTGGCTGCAACTGGAGAAGACTTGCTGGCCAGGGGATAAAGTGATGTTTCTTGATGGTCACCTGCATGGGGCTCTTTCTAGTAGGCCCCAGGGCTAGGACTGGTCATCCATGTGTAGAAATTCTAGGTCTTCCACAGGCTCTATTTCCCCAGCAGAGGACTTTTTCTTGATCACTGCTGTAGAGGATCCCAAGTGAAATTTATGGGGATCAGAACTTCATGACGTAAAGGTCTGGGTTACCTGCTGTCCCCAGAAGGTGTCTGTTTGCCTGGGCTTGGTTCTGTGTCTCAAGGCATCCTACACATTGGGTCAAAGTTCGTGCAAACTATTTGAAATCTTCAGCCACTAGAGGGCAGAAGCTTCTCAGACAGTCATCTGATTGGGACCCAGATTGTGGTCCTTTTCCTTTTCAGATTTGAATAGAAATGTATTGCATCTAAAAAAGTACCCACACGTGTTATCTTCTCTCTTCCTTTTCCCCCAAACAATCTGACGGATATTTTTGACCAAATGGATAGAATGGACCGTGTGGTTTTACTTTAAAAACAAGCTGAGGTACCAAGATGACTATTCCTGCAGTTAGTTGTATCCAGCCCTAGAAATCCACATCTTAATCCAGCACACACACAGGCTGGTGGATGGGTAGTAGGGGCCGTGTAAGCTGTGTAGCTTGGAGAAGGCAGGTAGCTTTTGATGTCCACAGACAACTCTGTCTTGATGTTATCAGGAACACAGAGCTGAGAGGCATGAGCTGTAGACAAGTCTATGAGCTTCCCGAGATAAAGATTTCTACTGCAGCCCGTGGCAAGGGATTACAACCTGGTGCTTACAGAAGTAGGCCAGGAAAGTAGGTGCTCAGAATCCTCCCTGCTTCTGACTATGAGCCACCCACACAGACTGTCTTTGCCTCTTGTCTTCCTCACTTGCTTCTTTGTCAAGAAGCTTCCCTTCCAGGCAGCTCATTGGCACCTCCTTTCCTCTCCTCCAGACTACTTGTAGGATGGTGATGAGCTCTTGAGGGGCACTACAGAAAGAAGCTATTTTGGTATTTAATCCAAAATGGAATTTGCTCTGCTTTAGAGAGGGATAGTCCTGGATTTCTGAGACACACTAGACATCATCAGATATGATTAAAGGGGCTTTCTGGACAAATGAAACTCCGTTCAGATCCCTTGTTAAAAATGAAAGCCCTTGAAGATGGAACTATGAAACAACAGTGGGGGTGGAGAGACAGCTGACGTCCTGTGGAAGTAAAAAAGCCCTTCTTCCAAGGTAACTTGCACTTGAGTTTCTGGGCAGTACCTGCCTAGGACTGCACAGTCCCACTCTGGGTACATGGCTTTCCCAGTGACAGACACAGACATTTTCCTAGACCAAGAGACAACAGACAGCAGAGATAGAAAAGCACAGAGTGCTAATCCTTCCTCATGTGAGAGGAAACAGATTTCCTCAGCATCAGAGGCAGGAGCAGAATTAACAGAACTCTGGGCCCAGTCTGTCCATGGCTTTGCCGACCACATAAGCTGTATCTTGGGCTTTGCTTAGTGCCTCTCAGGCTGGTCTTCAGTTGCCAACACTATATGCAAATGACAACTTTCAACAGAAATGGCACCTCTGACAAGCCCTACATGTTCACTCTGTAATCTCTGACATCCCTTTATAACCCCCCATGTCATGGCTCTGGAGATGTGGGGTCACCTCTAGAGATACCTTTTCTAGACAGAGACTAGTTATGAAGGTGAGTGCCATGGGGAATCTTGCACAAAGTGACAGGAGAGAGCTGCTGGAACTGCACATCATAGGTATTTAAGGAGACAGGAAACTTCTGAGAAGACTACTTGTGCTGGGTGGGCAGGTGCATTAATGAAGCTTCGTCTTGTTTCTGGCATTCCTATACAGCAATTTCCATAAGATGCAGATACCCTCTTGCTGCAAAAAGATACACAAGGTCACCAGGGATTTAGCTCAGTGGTGCTGTCCCCTGCCTCACAAGCGCAAGGTCCTGAGCCGGTACCAAAAAAAGATACACAAGGTCAAATCTTCTCTCGTTCACTCCATCCCTCCTTTCTTTTTTCCTTCCCTCCTCCCTCACTCCATTCTTGCCTTCTTCTCTCTTTCTTGTCCTTCTTTCTTTTTCTTCCTTTTTTCTCTTCTTCCTTCTCCTCCTCTTCCCCTCCCTGACTTGGGGACTGAACCCAGGACCTTCACTCAGAGCTATATCCCTACCCCTTTTTAAATTTTGAGATAGGGCCTTACTTGCTAAATTACCCAGGCTGGGGTTCAACTTTACATTCTTTTATCCCCCCGCAAGTGCTGAGATACATTTATGTAAATGCTTTCTTCTATAAAGACCTGCCCTCTGTGGAAATATCAGACTTAAAGGTTGTGCTGTTTTGCTGAGCTGTTCTTCTCTTCCAAGCCAGAAGAGGACATAGGGACAATGGGTCCCACTGAAGCTCACATTCAGGAATAGTCCTTTATAAAGGTAACTACCCACAGCTGCTTTTGCATGGGCTGGGAAAATTGACATAATGCATTCAATAAGCCAGATGGCAATATTTGATCTGTGATATAATAAGCATTTAAATAATTACTAAACTTCTGGTGGGTTTCATTTGAGCTCTGCTTTTGAAATTCCCCTTTATTTTTCTAAAAATTCAAGATAATAAACTTTACAATGTAGTAATAAAGTAGACTGTTTCACTTGGGCTTTAGGTGATGTTTCCCTCTAGTGCCCTGCACGTGTGTGTGTGTGTGTGTGTGTGTGTGTGTGCGCGCGCGCGCACCCCCCCCCCCCACGGTGCTTTTTCTTATCTGTTTGGTGACATGGATACTTTGTCCTTTACTTTGAGCAGGAAGACACCTTTCAGTTAGGAGACAAAACCCTTGGTAGTTGCTGCCAGATGGTATTGTCTTGAGCCTGGAGCCAGGAGGTTTGCCTGAGCTGCTGGGCTGACTGCTACAGCAAAGGCTGTCTCATCGGCCCAGGCAGTCACCATGAAGGGGCAGCAGGTGTCCACAGCACCAGCGAGGGCCCAGGGATCTACTGCAACACCTAGCCAGGCAGCTTCATCCTGTCAGGACTCCAGGATCACCTGCTTCCTCAACATGGCTCTTGAGTGTAGAAAACACTAGAAGGCAAAGCTTAAATATCCTCTTGTTCATTATGAAAGCAAATGCAGATTTTCAAAACCAGCAGTACTGCTTAAGATAATATGACATCTATGTTTGCAAAGAACAAGGCGAAATCAATACACATTTTAGAAAAATATTTGCTTCAGTTGAAACACTTCTAGCACCGAAAGTTCTAATTCAGAAAATAACATATTGTTGTTCATCTTCCTTTTTTAAATGGTGGCAAAAACACCTCCTTTGCTTCAGTGAGTTTGGCACAGGTTTGCCTGGATTTTTCTTAATAAAACATCTTGTATTCATTCTTTCCATCCTGGAAATAAAACTAGAACACGTGGACCTAATGTTATATTGAGCCATGACACAGATTCGCTATTTGGTCAAGGAAGCCCACAAGCCCTGCTAGGGCCAGAAGACCCAACGATCCCTCCGCAAAGTCTAATCTGAGTTATTGACACAGCATATAGGCAGGGATACTGCATTTGTCTCTTTTTAAAATGTGTAATTTTTTGCAATGATTCTCATTATTTAGCCTTTAATTTTGTTTACATTTTTAATATGCTTTTAAAGGATTTTTGTGAAAGCTTTAAGCATAAAAATTTTTAATTTAGTTCTAAATTTCCTTGAGGAAAAAATATGTATTTTCCAAATCATTACTCTTTTCAAATCATTACTGCTTTTGGAAGGCTTATTTACCAGTTTATATAGTTTATGATGTCATTTCTGAAGTCCTGACAAATTTCTCTGGGTATTTCTTTAGGTATTTGAAGAAATGATTTTATTATTCTCTGAAAGCTTTGAGTTTGGCAAACTGGAAAAATTGTCATTTTTTGATATGTTCAAATCTGGATTAAATTCAAAATTAAGCCTATGGATGCTGTCATCATGAAAAAAGAATTTTATCAAAGTTGAGAAAATCAATTTCCTGCAGATGATGTTCACTTGATAGGAAAACCCATTGATATTCCTATGTCAAATGCTGGTTTGGAATTAATGTGATGATAGCTACAATAAATTTAGCATTGAGCCAAAAAATTAACTTTTAAAAAACTGCCTTTACTGTATGGAATCACAAGTTAAATTGTCAAATTGTAAAGAAAATGGATAAAGGCAATGCTCTATACTGTATTCTATAGGATGTAATGTTATTATCATCAATCTATCTCATATTGGTAAATATGCTTTCTTTGTTGTCTGGCAGTGTTCATCCAGCTTTCAGAGTGACCTATCTTATGATGTACTTTAGGGAGGCAGCAGCAATGACATCAGAGGACAGCATCTATGGTCCTTTGGCCTGCTTTTTGTTTCCTACTAGGTGAAGGTATTACGGGAATGATTGCTATGAAAGTCTGGCATTGGCCCGTGAGTGTGCTTGGGATCCTGATGCTACTGAAGCTTACTCAAGATGATAAGACTCCAGGGCTGTTCCCCAACCCTTTAATCTTGGCTGCATCCTTCCTAGGCTCAGAGCTCCTGGACCCAAGTAGAAAGACTCTAAGGAGGGAGGTGGCAGAGATAATCATACTGCTAGTTGATTGTTCCACCCCTATGCCCAGGGATCCTAGGCAGCAAGTGACAAGCCTTTTGAGTGGGAATAGAAAGTGAGTTCCTGCCATGGTCCCTGGAAAAGGCCTCATCTGCTCTCACAGGAGACTAAGCAAAGGAAGCTTTATATCTGCCATTAGGGATGCCCAGTGAGGTCCATGACATTGGTCAGAGCTTCTTCTGGCTTCATGTCTGTCCTGGGCTCAGAGAGCAGGACCAAGACTCACCTTCTACTGCATCCAGAATATAAGCCAACCTCTTTTCTGGTTTTCCTTAGAGTTGTCCTGCAGGTCTTCCCTGGTGGGACTGTTTTTCTTTCTTTTCCTCAGCCTTTTACATTTCACTTCTTCTGTGAAGCTTGGCTTATTTTCGAATGATTGCAGTTGGAGAGAAAGTGGGATAGTGTATGCTATCCTGCAACTGCCCATTCAAACACGCCTCTTCTCTGGAAAAGGCATCTTGGAGACAAGCCAGAATTCCCTGAACTGCCAGTGGCTTCTCTTTGGCTTAGAAGATCTCAAAGCCACATCTCTGTGGCAGGTGTCACTGGGTCTATGGCTTGAGAGAGGTCTTGAGGGAGAAGAATCAAGAGTTCCTGTCAGACAGAAAATCTAAGTCTCAGAGGGATCTCAGTGACCACTCAGCCTCTGGCTGTGCCCTGTACCAGTAAAAACCTCAGGGATCCTGTGAGGGAGAGTCACTCTTCACAGGGATGTGGAAGGGGACAGCTAGAAACAGGTAAGCCATCGTGTCTGCCTTGAGTGTGGGCAGCAACACCTGTGGCTGGGTATTCCTAGGCTGGACACTCTCAATAGCTCTAAGTGACCATCATGGGTATACAGTTAAATGGCCTGTAGAGTTCTCAGGGTCCACATACTGTTTTCAGGCATTCTTTTGGGTCACATACATACCCATATTTGTGTCCTTTTCTCAGTTCATTAAATCAATGTGTATAATGTCGTGTGGAAAGTTATAGCCAGGTAGATGAGTTAGAAATAGACCAGGGGGTGGGGAAGAGCAGTGGGCTAGACCTTGGCTAGTCCACATGGCAGGATTGTGCAGGAGAGGGAGGGGCAGCAGGAAAAAGCACTGTGGCAACACTAGTGATGTGGAGACCTGGTGCAAGGAGACAGCTGGCAAAGAGTTAAGTTCAAACTAGACTTGATAAAATCCCTCTCTCTTAATTAGCTACAGTGATTCTTGTGAAGTCTTCATATCAGGGACAGAGAACTTCTACTTACCATTTTTATCTGTATTTTGGCTCACAGGTAAGAGGTTAAAAAAAAGTGCCACATGTGGTGGCACATCCCTGTAGTCCCAGCTCTCAGGAGGCTGAGGCAGGTGAATCGTAACAAGTTAGAGGGCAGTCTGGGCTACACAGTGAGTTCAAGGCCAGCCTGAACTACCAGTGAAACCATCTCAAAAAAAAGGACAACTCACACTTCGGCAGTTAGTACAGTGACAGCAATCATGTTTTCCTCCAGGGTTTCTTGTGATGTCCGTGAAGCTGTATCAGTCATAACCAGTGGCTTCTCTTCAGTCATGCTGTTTAGCTCTCCGTGGACAACAACCCCCTGGGCTTTCCCCATTCTCTATGCATGTTCAGCACTGCACGTGCTTTCAAAGAGGTAGCTATTTAGGAAGTCCTCTGATTCAGTCACCTCCCCATCCCATTCCCATCACCAGCTTTCCAAAGAGGCCCTGATGAGCCACACCTCCCAGTATCACACTCTTGTATAATCCTTCCCTTGAGTCCTAGCTGTCCCTGTGACTTGGCCTTGATGCACAGTGTGCGGAAGAAATGACTTGGTGTCATTTCAGAGATTACTTAGAAGAATCTGGACTCTTGCAATGCTAGTCATGGAGATGCCAACTGAGTTCTAAGAAGTGTGACCATCTTGGGACTGTGTGTTGTGAGGAAGCCCAAACTTGTCATGTAGAAAGAGATACCCAACCCTTCTCTAGCTGTCCCAGTCATTCCACTTGAGGAGCCAGATATGACATCAAGCCCAATCAGGCATTGAGATGATGCCAGTTCCAGGTGCTATCTGGCTGCAACCATGAGATTCCAGGTGAGAGCAATCACCTAAGCCCAGTCAACCACATAATCATGAGAGACAATAAATTTCTATTCTTTTTGTTTGTTTTTGTTTTTTAAGACAAGATCTCACTATGTAGTTCAAGCTGACCCTGAACTTACTATGTAGCCTAGGCTGGTCTGGAACTAAGAGTGACCCTCCTACTTCAGCTTCCATTGTGGGTATATGGCACCACATCTGGCTAATAAATTTCTATTCAAACCACTATGTTTTGTGGTACTTTGCTACATAGCAATAGAAACACCCACAATCATAGGTCTAGATAACTGGAAGCATACCAAGTCTTTTTTTGGGGGGGGGGCAGGTAACTGGGGATCGAACTCAGGATCTTATGCTTGTAAGGCAGGTGCAGTGCTGCTGAGCTAAATCCCCGGTCCCTAGCAATCCATTTTCTAGATCTATCTTTTGTCAGCTTCCCTGTCTTAAGTGTAAAAGAATGATTTTCTTCTCTTCTTGGGACTTACGGAATATGGGCTTACCTATGGTCATGAAGACTAAACCATTGCACTTGGAGTCATGATTGCTAAGACAATTTCGAAAACATCCACACTGTAGAATGCCTTTCTTCTCCCTCCTTTTTCTGACTGGTACCCATCACATCCCAGTGTACTTCCTGGACATCACATTGCCTTATAGATACACCCAGCTCACTGGCCAGGAAAGTGCTTCAATAGCAACACACAACCAGGACAGATCTTCTTACAGATGACAGCAGCGAGAGGAAGAAAATCAGGGCCAGGAAAGTGGGAATGCACCTGGTCTCTTCCTTTCTTGGCGCCAGTTCTCTCCAAGGTCTCTTCCTAAGATCTAATTAAGGTGCTTCTCTTTCTATTGCCATTTCTGGTTTTTTTTTCAAGGTACTTTAGTGTCCTTCTCTATCTTTTGAAAGATGCTGGAGAATCCTGTTTCCCCAAGTTCAATGACGCAAGGTTTGAGTTTTCAAAAGGAACATTTACTAGGAAACTAAAGGGCAACCAAACAGAATGCAAGAGAACAGAGGCAGAGGTACAAATGGGATGAAGGTGTTCAAATTTATAACCAGCCTCTGGCCACACCTATACAGGCTAGGCAAAGCTTTCCAGACACAAAGCCACTTGCCTGCCATGTGGCTGACTGTCTCCACAAAACCACCTTGTTTCATCTCAACAAGCCAGTACCATACTCTTTAGTACCCCAGGGCTGCCATCTCTGGGCAGGAAGATCTTGAGATGGGAACAACAGGCACAGCTGCCTCAGGGTCTTCAGCCCAGGCTCCTACTGCCAAGGACATGTCAGTGTTTAATGGGATGGCTACCTGCCACTATCTACTGGAGCCAGTCTGGTTTTTGGGGGGCCATTCTTCTGGGCTCATCTGCCTGGATCTAGAGACAATCTTTCTGTTCACTATCCTGCTGGCACTAACCCTTCACACTTTGGTTCTAAACACTGGTATGGTGGAGGGATAGGCAGACCCTTGGTAAAGAAAGATGAATTTTTTCATGTCATCAGACACAGGCAGAACTTGGATTCCTTTTGAATCCCCATGGTCAAAAGCCAGTAAGAAATGGAAATGATTGGACAGGCTAGGGAGTGCATGAAGCTGGAGTGTGTAATAATACTGCCTCACCCAACTAAAGGCCTCCACCCTTTTTAGATCTGACATCAGGGTAGGGTTTCTTGTGTGCTAGGCAGATGTGGCAGCAACAACTTTCTGACAACATCCAAGGATCCTGACTCCACGCAGTCTCACATCAAAATGTTAACTCGAATATAATGAGTTTTATAGGAAAGGTAAACCACAACCCAACTCTGAATTCTGCTGTAAAGAAACTATAAAAAGGGAAATGTTATCTTGGAGTAGAGATGCAAAATGTGTGGATAGGGTGTCTTGTACCATAATGGGACAGAGAGAGGACCACCAGGAAACAGCCCCTGGCCCTCCTAGGATATGCTGAAGCCTTTGGTTTTATTTCTGTGGAGGCAGAAGCTATGAAGACGAGGTGCATACATGGCAGTAAATTGGTAGGAGGGAAGTGAGTAATGAATGAGCTACCCAGGGAGAGCCCTTGACCTTTACTCTTGTAGGTATTTCCATTCCCCAAGTGCTACGAAAGTGATATGTGTCTGCATTGAGAAGAAAACCTCTATATGTGGCTGCCTGAGCCTGGACTCTGGGCTATTGCATACAGAAATATCTGAAAAGGCACTCAGGCCAAGAAGGCCCCCAAACTGTGCCTTCCCTTGGGAGGACCCTGTGTCATCTCTGTGATCTCATATCATACCACGCTATACCTATTTGTGAGGCTGTTCCCACAGTGAAAAATGTGCCTGGGAAAGGGTATTCCAGAATGCATATGTCATTGAGAGGTAGGCCTCTCTAGTGGGGATGGGCATTAAATTTCATTCTAATAACACCAGTTGAAAGGAAATGGCTACTGACTACCTAGAAAGTAATGTTCTAGAATCTCAGAACTCAGAATCTGGTTTTAGCAGAAAAAAGAGCCATGGTCAACTAGTACTGTGCCATGTGCATGGAAAGGGGCAGTGAATTTGCTGTGAACTAACCCTCCTTGCATTGGAGTTTCTCCAGGGGATTGGCCTGCTTGTCCTATTATTCTCTTGAGGCTATTCTTTGTAAAGCTGGAGTACTTCGTGGGGTGAAACTATTCTCTGAAGACAGCCATTAGCTCAAAGGTAGTGGAACTGGAATTGAGATCTGCTGCCTATTTAGCACCTGGATATATTTTTAAATATTCTATCCTTCCAGGGCATTCAAGCAAATAATTCCATGTCAGAATGACCATTGCCAGGGCAGGTACTATGTCCCCATTACCAAGGCCTTATATAAATTACTAAGAGTCTTGGTTCTCCTAGGATTCTGTGTCATTTGCTTTCTTCCATAGTTCAATACTGGTTATTGGCAATGAGAGACGAGCTTCCCCTATAGCACATCACCTTGGGCCACCTGAAGAAGGTGGCTGGACCATTCAGGTTCACCAACCCCAACTGGGAAAGAGGGCCAGTTATTGCTGTGATTACAGCTGAGCATTTGGTCACTGGAGTTGTCCGAGTGTCACTGCATGGAAAAAGTTACTGAAGATCATTGTTGGATGGTTGTCCTACTGTGTCCTTGACACATGCTGTCCTCTTATCCACAGTCATCGTTTCTGTAGGAAGAAGAAACAAAGAGTGATTTGGTTTTCTACTGTACATTTTTAATACGTACCGAACAAGTGTCAGTACTGTGATGGGTGCTGGGAATATAAAGGCCACGAGCAGGATGTTTGCCCTGACTTCAAAGGACTTATGAGGGTAAGGTGAATAATACAGGTGTAAATAACTGCTATAGGAAACTTTGAGGAGGTTGGGAGGAGTCTGAAGGATAAGTCTTGAGTTGGGCCATTTAGGCTGAAGAAGAGCCCATCAGCTGAGAAAGAGGGAAGGCTACTGTGGGCAGAGAAGCCTATACACAGGGTCAAAGTGGGGAGGGAGAGCATGGTACATTTGAAGAATTGTCAGGATAGGGTGACTGTAGTTTGAGGAGTGGGCTGGTAGCAAATAAGACTAGACTGGAGAAAGGGGGAAAGAATGGCACATTACAACATCCATTCCTCTGGCTTCCCAGCTGTGAATGATGGGCTTTCTTAATGGAGCTTAGATTAACAGATACTTTAATTTAGCACACTCAGCTCGGTATTCCACTGAAATTCAACTCAGGGTATTTTACAGTACAGATTATGGATATTAATGCTTTAGTTATAAAAGAAAGCCAAAGTCACTTCCATGGATATAGTAACTATAAAAAATTACACATGAACTATAAGAGGGAGAAAACATTCTAAAATTGAAACATGTGAACTATTTTAGAGATGAAAAGTTTGCATGTGAGGCAATCCTTCCAGGGCATTAAATGAAGTAATAAAAGCTAGCCTATACATGGCAGAAGAAAAACCATGTCTGACTGTGGCCCTTGACTTTGAAGTCTGTACATGTGTGTAAGTACACACACACATCCCTGAGAAAATGAGTATTTGCTTCTGAGTCTAACAAGAAAGGATGAATGGGTATTTGTCTTCACATTGTGATTCAAATATAAATTTCCCAGGCTGGGAGCTACTCTGGAGTGCCTTCCAAAGGGTTCTACTTTCCAGACCATCCATCACCCATGTCAGGCTCTGGGTCCCCTAGCTCTTTGCTCAGCTGAGATCCATCCTTGAAAGCCTCAACTGCCAGTGCCTAAGTCCTTCCCAATTAGGGACGGCAAGCTGTCAATAGAGCCAACCCCACCAACGAATGTGGTCTGGAATTAGGTGAGCTATTGGGCAAGGGGACCATGTGCCACCTTCCTTAATTTTGAATACTCAATGTGTGTCAGGAACTAGGATATAAACTTTACACATCTTTAAAAGAAGCCTGTGAGGTTCTTTACTAGAGGATACAGAGATGTAGAGAGACTGGTTTATACAAAGCCACACTGTGACTAAGTGAAGGAGGTTCAACACATCTTCAGATAGTGGGTCCTCTCTACCAGTGGTCTTTCAAGAAAACTTTCTTGGGAGTAAACATTCTAGGGAAACTCAGGCATGCAAATCAGGTCTGAGAAAGTTCAGTTGTCTCAGGAGAAGGGCAACTGAGTATGGCATGAATAAATTATGCTGTTACTCACCACCTTTTTTCTGTCTTTTGGGATTAAGACTGAAAAAACGGAACCAATCATAACAAAGAAAACACATTACAACATCTTCCTAACTTTTAAACCTAGTAAGTTGTTCAGCCAACATTTCTGTAAGATGAGGTATGAGAAAGATTTTTCTACAGTTCATAACAGTGTTGACAGTGAGGCTCGGTGGGGGATGGGTGGAGACTGTGGCCTCAACACCAGAGTCAGCAATGGCAGTTTAAGCACTGTGGCCCTAACACTGGCTGAGCTTGTTCCAGACTTGTTGCATTAGGCAGGGCAACAGTGTCTTATTTATCAGGCCCATTGGCCTCCCAGGAAGTATCACAGGTTTGGAAGGTACTAGGAACTTCAACAGCATCAACAGGAAGCAGTAGTTATAATCCTATTTAAATAGGGGATTTTAAGTGAATTCAATTGCACTGAGACAAGGATTTGATTGGAATGAAATCAAATTTAAACCAAAAATGAGAACTGTCCCAAGGAAAACTGTAATGTGTAGTGACATTGCAATCACAAAAATGACAGCTGATGTGAGACAGGCCATTGAAACTGACCTCAAATTAAGAACATGAAAAGATGAGTGGAACATTAGATGTTATCTCCCTATGAATTTGAAAATGGGTTTTGATTACAGGAAGTATCCAAGGGCTTTGAGCTATGAAGCTTGTCAAGAACTGAAATTATTCATATTACATGACTCAATCTTATATGTACTTAATACTTGTATTTTAGAATTTTATTTAAAAAGCACAAAATTTCGGAACTTTTTTCGCCATTTATTGCTTAGCATGAAACATCACATTTGGGCCACTTAGAATCTGATAGAATCTTGGGCCACTTAGCTTCTCCCTTTCCCGAAAGAGAGCATTTTATATTTTTTGCTCCTTCTCTCCTCTTTAAGAACTGGTATGGTATAGAAATAAAACATGTCAATATAAGTACATTGTCAGTCAGGAGACTGCAACAATAGCATAGAAAATGACTCTACTTGTGTAACAACTAGTATTTATTGAGCACTCAATCACCTGGCTCTAGCCTAAAAGGGCCACATACCTTATCTCAATCTGTACCTCAACCCTCTAGGACAGATTTAACAGTAAGGTAACCAAATCTAAGCAAAGCCAATTAATAGAGGTAGTATGTGGCAGACCACTATTTCCACCATGCCTTTATGGATCCAAATATAGGCCCAGGATGACAAATTATTGTGCTTTTCATGCCAGCTCAGCAATAGCACCTTTTACAAAGGAGTCTCAGTCTAAAGAAGAATTCTGGATAGTTTAGACTTGTGGAGAGGGGTGTTGAGGAGTTAGCCTTGAGGAGAAAGGTGACAGATGGTGGCATGTGTGACATGTACATTGTCATTCACTGAGAAAGGTTCATTACCCACAACTGAGAAACAAGTGTTCCAATGAAGGTACCATTCAGAAGGTAGAAGAGTGGTTAGTTCTTTCAGATGAGGGGGCATGATAAGGAATTACTACAAGACAAAAACTACTGATGAAGTTAAGCAGAAGATATTTGGAGTTTGTTACTTTACATTTACATTCATTTATTTATTAATGTATTTAACATGTATTGAGCATCTGCTGTTTGTGCTGAGTCTTAGGAACACAAATGATGTACAATGCATACCTTACTCTTGAGGTGCTTTCAGTTATCAAATAGAGGACAATAGACTCAAGGATGTGGGAAGAGAGCAAAATGAAGCCTCAGTCGGGGATCTGATTATAACTGCGATGTGTATGCATAATTCTATTTACCCAAATCAGGGAAGAAAAGAGGAAAATGTAATTAACCATGCCCTGTTCCATGTCTGTGCAGTCATTTTACCACTGCAGTGTAGGACTTATATCTCTGAATGACCTTTTGGAATCTCAATTAGTTTTGAGAATTTAAACTGATAATTCTTTTCCTATCAATTGGAAAAGTACCACTGCAGCACCAGCAAGGTATAACAAAATAAAGAAGCTTTAAAAAAAATTTTTTTTGGTACCAGGGATTGAACTCGGGTCCTTGCGTTTTTTAAAAGTTTTGATATAGGGTCTCCCTATGTAATTCAGGCTGGCCTTGAATTCAGTTATCCTTCTGCCTCAGCCTCCAGAGTTCTGAGATTAAAGGTGTGTGCCACCATGCCTGGGAAAGTAATGGTGCTTTTGTGTTAAGGTATATTTACTCAGGTACCATACACAGTGTGCTATCCTCATTCTGCTTTGTTTTACACTTTTAAGCTAAATGCTTAACAATATGATATGTTAGAAAATTACTAAATTTATGAATTTAATGTGTATATTTAGGAGAACTTAACTAAATCTATAGTCAACATTTAAATGTTTAGAAAAATCTAGTATACTAAATGGATAAAGTTGAATTTTAAGATGTAGAAAAGCTTAGTTTAATCTAAATGTAAAAAAATGTTTTTTTAGCATTGTGAGAGTTAAGTGCTTGGGAATAATTCTGTTTAATAACTTACTGAGTTTGATATTTGAAGTATATTTTATATAATCACTTTTTAAGTTTGTGACTTTAGTTTGGAATGATAAAGAAAATTCAGCTAATTAATTGCTTAAATAGTGCTTACATATTTAGGGTGATTCTATTTGCTAGATTTATAAAGTTTTAAAAATTTATTTCAAAATAAGGGAATTTTATGAAATATAAAATTGGTATTTTGAAGTTTAGGAAGATTAAATTAATAATCTAACTTAGAAGTAAAACCAATTAAAAAATGAATGTTTTAATTTCAAAACAAAATGTTTAAACTTACCATAATAGCTAACATTATATAGCATTGGGTATGAACTGGTTTAGGAATATTACAAATATTAACTAATTTACTCTTATTACAGCTCTCTGAAGTAAGTACTATTATTTTTCTCCATCTTACAGATTCAGGAAATGAAGGTACAGAGATAATGCATTTGTTTCTAAGGGCTGCCATAACAAAATACCACAAACTATACGGCTTAGAGCATCAGAAGTTTGCTTGCTTGCTCACAGTTCTGAGGGCCAGAGTCTAAGATTAAGGTGTTGGCTGGACCATGGTCCATCTGGAGGTCTTGTTCCAATTCCTACCCCATTGTCAGGTGCCATTCTCCTTGTGTGTTCTGTAGTGTATCTAGATGGCCTTCTTATAAAGACATTAGTTATTGAATTTAGGATCTACCTTCACCTAGAATGACCTCTGTCTTAACTAAATGTATCTACAAAGACCTTATTTCCAAATTAGGTCACATTCTGAGGTTTTGGGTAGACAAGAATTTTGGGAAGATACTGTTCAATCCAATAGCCCATAGTCTCCTATATCTAGCACATTGATAAGGCTCATGTCAGCCCTCAATCCTCATTTATATCTTATTTGTCACACCTGGCCATTTTTTTTTTCCCCCTTCTTCTACCTTGGTATACTTCACTTTCTTGGTATCAGTGACTTTGGTCTTGGTGTTAATGTCAATGACTTTCACTTTCTCGGTATTTGATTTTCTTCTTATCCTTACCTTTATAGATACTGGACTGGGCCAGTTCTTGATCTTTGGATCTCTTTCCTTCTCCATTTACATCTCAACCATCTTTATAACTATAGGCTGATCATTCTCTGGAACTCTAAGATTTCTGACTCTACCTGCTATTTGATGTTTCCTTGTAGACATCCAACAGATGCTTCAAGCTTAGCTAGAGTAACTCTTGATCACTCTCTTTACACTCTGCTCTACCTAAAGTCTTCTTCAATCACTTCATGGAAACTCTATTCTTCCACTTGGTCAGGTCTAAAATCTAGAAACCAGCCTTTACTTCTTTCTCTCATACCCAGAGATCCTGCTGGGTCTCTCTTCAAAATTCATCCATTCTATAACCACTTCTTACTATTTTGCCTATTGTGAAGTGGTCAAAGCTCTGTTATTTCTATCTAGATTACAGCAATAGACTCCTAATGGATAGTCTCACTTCCACCCTTGTCCCCATCTGGTTTGTTCTCAAGATGGAACGAGAGGGATCAGTTGTAAGCTCACATCATGTCACATCTCTCTTGAAAATCTGCAGTGGATCCATGTTCATCTCATACAAGGGGCTATGTGCTTAAAAAAATCTACCAGGTTCTACATAACTTGAACTCTACCCATCTTTCTGATCTCACCTCCTCTCCCCTCTCTGTTCTCTGCATCCCTCATTCTCTTCACTGTTCCTTGTACAAACTTCCTTAAACCCTTTGTATTAATTGTTTCCTCAGCCTATAATCCTAGCACCGAAGAGGCTGAAGCAGGAGGACTGCTGAGAGTCTAAGGCCAGACTGGAATACACAATGAGGTTAAGGCCAGCAAGACTCTGTCTAAATACAACAAATAAAAATTAACCCTCTTTAAACCACATCATACTTTCTGCTTATTTGTTCAAATACTTGAAATCCAGCACTTCCCACTCCAAAGTGACTGTTTGAAAGGAAGCTTGGGTGTTCCTTTCTGGAACAGAATATTGCAATACAGCAATGATACAATGCAAAGAGGCGTCTTGAAGACTGCTGAGGTAAGCTGACAGCATGGTGGCCGGCATGGTGATTCAAGCATGGTGGAATTCTGAGCTTCCTGGAGGATGTGGTCGTACATCTCCCCTCCTGCCTCTTGAACGAACGTGAGTCTCTTACAAAGACCTTTATGAGAACTACCTGAGCCTTTGTGCTCATCTGGGATGATGACTAAGATATTGGTTGGCACTGTCTTAACTCTCACAGGTGTTGCCTAGAGCTTGGAGAAGTAAGTGTCAAAGAGAAGGCAAGGCTCATTTAGTCCCCAAGAAGATGGAACACCATTGGCTTCCAGAGCTGGTGTTCAGTTACTTTCTCACATTAACAGAACTACTACACTTGAATATTTGAAAAATGGACATGCAGAGGCTAAGAAATCAGTAATCATTTTACAAGTTATACGACAGAAGAAATTGGAATCCTATCTTACAAGACTTTGCTCAATGCTGACTTTATGCCAGGCATTTTGCCAGGTACCAGTTATACAATGATGAATGATACTCAGTTTTCATTGTCAAGGAGCAGCTGGATGTGCTGGGGATGACACACACACACACAGATAATATCAATTGGCACAAAATACTTGGTTAAGGAAAGGCACAGGGTGCTAGGAAAAGACAGCACAGACATGAAACATATAGCTCACACTAGAAGATTTTCAGGATGTTTTCTGAAGAAAATGGCTACTGATCAGACATTTAAAAGATGAGCTAGATATAGCCTGGATATAGCCAGGCAATGAGAGTAGAAAAGATGGCCAGAGGTAGTGATGCATGTCTTTAATCCCAGCACTCTGAGAAGCTGAAGCAGGAGGACTAGAATCTTGAGCCCAGTCTGGGCAACTCAGTAACTTGGTGATACCCTGTCTCAAAATGAAAAATTTTAAAAAAGGGCTTAGGATATAGCTCAGTGTGAAGATAACAATAAGGCTCAGGGGATGTAGCTCAGTGTGAAGGTCTTGGTATCGGAAAAAAAAAAAAGAAAAGAAAAGAAAAGATAGCATAAGAAGTTAGCAATTAGGTGTAACCCCAATATAAAGTTAGGGGACAGACAGGCAAGGTCACAGAGGACTGTGACCACCAAGGGAACATGATCTTGATCTTATTCAGGGCAAAGGGAAGTTATTAGAAGATTTTGTACAGGGAAGGATCATAGTCAGATTTGTTTTAGGACTTGGATCCTGGAAGCAATGTAGAGACTGGATTGAAAAGCACCAGAGAGTTAGGCAACCAGAGCTGAGTGGCCACATGGGAACAGCTGAAGCACTCCTCTCCCTGTCAGAGACCCCAGTAGGGTCCTGTGGAAGTACTGCTGGGGAAGACAGAAAAGAGGTATTGGGTTTTACACTTGAGAGCTCTATGTGGTGAGTGTTAAAACAAGACTAGGGGGTTTAGAATTTGCATTTGCTGACGTGAAAGAGACATTGGAGAGGTGTGCTCAGCCTGAACCATGTGTGGGTACCTGTCCTCTCCCCTCAGGGTGCTTCCACCCACTTGAGGAGCTGTGTACAGACTGTCTTGTCTTAATCCTCCCTTGGATATTCTCACACTGACCAGCTTCCTCCTCCTGTTGACTACTGTATATTGGAAACCTGGCTGTGGATCACAGAGTAAAGGCTCAATCAGCATTTACCACAAATGTCAACAGTGAGTCTAAATCGACTAAATACATCAATTCTGTGCATTCTGACAGACCCTGCTTTCCACTTTCACCATGGGGAGGACACAACATCCTAGGCCTCAGAGCATTCACAGTTAAGAGGGAAGACAGATGTAACTAACTAATTATAAAACAAAAACTAGAGGCTGCATTGGGCGATGTGAAGCCCTTCTTTCTATGTGTGGTTCATTGGATAACTCAAAGAAGAAGTGGCACTTACACTGAATCCTGAGGATTATGTAGGATTTATATGATGAGAACATAGAGGAAAGGTATTCTAAAATAAGAAGGTCCAGAAGAAAAGGTACAAGTAGCAAACTGATTTAGGGAACAGTAAGAGGTAGGGCTAGCAATGGAAACTTTTGAAAGGGAAAGATATGGTCAAGTTGGGTAAGGAAAGTGGACTCCAGTGAGAGGAGATGACTGACGGGAGGCTGAAATTGCTTCCCAAGGCCACCTGAGGAAGAGATGACAGGCCCTGGGTGACCTTCTCCGGCACCTGCTGGGATCAGGCTCACCTAAAGAGATGATGGTATTCACTGCAGCAAACATGATCCAGAAGATGGTCATTCTCAGCCAGAGTCTACACAGGATGGAGAGCAGCTGTAGAACGTGCAGCCTGTTGTGGTTCCATGAAGGATAAAACACTGCGCAAGCCCCCAGCCCCTTCATGCTTTCCTTATCCAGTTTTAATTTATAGTAGTGTTTTTCTCACTTTGAGAGGATTTAGTTTGAACACTGGAACATAGCCTAATGGAGTAAACACACCTAACAGGTTGAACAGAACTCCTTTTAAATAAGTCAATTAAATATTTCTTGATCCTGGAACATTTTAAATCAAATCTCAGACATTATATCATCTCATCTATTAATATGTACATATACAACAGGAAAAACTTTAAATTGTAAAACCATACAACATTATTGGTCTTAATAAAGTTGATAATGACTCCTTAATGCTACCTAATACCTATTTGAGTTCAGATTTTCCCAGTTGTCTCAAAATTATCTTTTAACAGCATTTGTTTGAATCAGAATCAAACAGTCAAACCCTGATGTGCCTGATAGGTGCCTTGTCTTTTAGTTTCTAAGCAGTTTTCCAGCTCTGTTTTCCTCCTTTCATGCTCTATGTAAAACTTCCCACATCCTCGATTTGTCTGTTTTCTCATGCTGTGGTTTCATGTGTTCCTCAATCCTTGTAGTTCCTATAGTCAGGTGGGGCCAGGGACTTGTTCAATGAAAGTTCAGCTTTTTTTAAAAGACTATTTCACAGATGTTGATGTGAGGTACTAAAGAAAGAGAGGCATTGTGTCTGGTCATCCTGTTTTTAGGATTTGAAGATAATTATTGGGTTCAGATGCTCTGTCATTCTAATCTACCCAACAGTTCCCCATCAGCATTTCCTCCTTTTCATAATTGTTGATGATAGTTGCTTAGCCAAGAGAATGCCACAGACCTAAAGCAGAGGGCTCGATGACACTGTAAACCTCTGGATTGAAGTGCAACTCTTCATTTTTCATTTTTTAGGGTTTCACTATGTAGTCTATGCTGGTCTTGAGCCTGCTCTGTAGCTCAGGCTAGCTGTGAACTCCCAGCAATCCTCCTGCCTTGGCATTCTGTGTTCTTGAATTACAGGTATGCACCACCACACTCAGAAAATATAATACTTATCTTTGGATTTGCAGGAAATGATTAATTTATTTTACTCTTTAAAGCAGTTTGAGCTGAGTTTTTGGTTCCTAGAAGCCTGACACCCTACTTGACTCAAGTCTGGGCATCTGATTAGTCAAGGGCCAGCCAAGGACTGGAGCTCTTCTGTACAGGGTCTGTCAACTATGCGGGATGGGTTTTCCTGTGCTCTTGTCCCAGCTGTTGGGAAAGGGCACTGAGTAAGGTAAATACCATGGTTTGAATGTCTTCTCCAAAATTCATGTTGAAAGTTAACTCTGAAAGTCATATGTTAATGATGTTCCAGAGCTGAGGCCTTTGGGAAGTGATCTGGTCATGATTCTCTGAGTTCATGAATGAATGAATCCATTTATGGATCAATAGATTAATGGGTTGTTGTGGGAGTGGCTCTGTTATAAAAGTGAGTTCTCTCTGGCTCACCTGATCTGTCTATCTGATGCCCTGCACAACCTCAGGACTCTGCAGAGTCCTCGCAGGAAGAAGACCCTCCCCAGATGAAGCTTTTTGACCTGCCTCTAAAATGTGCCCACTCTGAGAACCTGCAGCCCCTTAGAAGAGAAGCAGTGAGCAGTTGGAGGGCTGCTCTTCTGTGTGGGCAGAACTGCAGGTCATGGAGCTGGAGTAAAAGGTCTTCTGTCCTGGGGAGGGCAGTCCATGGTGTGTCTGGCATTGGCCCTGCTGTTATCATGGGTGTTGCCTGTGCCTTTTAGCCAGGAGATTCTTACCTGATACCTTGAGTCCAATCTGCTGTCAAGCAGCAGTACATAAGGATAGATTTTCTATTCTAGATGCTAATTACTCACAGTCATTACAACTTTTCATTTATTTTACCTCTGACTGTGATTTATTATAGTTTATTTTATTGTGTTTCCTGAAAAGTGTGTGTGTGTGTGTGTGTGTGCTTAATCTGCAATGTTGTCAGTTCTTTTTATACTCAGTGATCCTCCCTGCTCATTCAGTTTAAAATTAAGAACTGGGTATTTTGTGTGTTTTTTCTCTGCTTTTGCCCATACAGAGCGATTTTCTAGCACAATAACTTCCTATCTTTCTCCCCAGAGTTGGAATGCTGACCAGGAGCTGTATCAAATTTGTTATTGTTGGATATAGGTCCATGCTTGTTCCTTATAAGAACACATCCAGGCACAGCTGGATCCAGAGGTACAGGGTACAGACAATGTCATCAGGACTCATTATTTTTCCACCTTTAAAATCTGCTTTCTTTTGTGTTATTCCATTCTGGGGTTGGATTCTACTGTTTTGACATTAAGATAGCAGCTAGCAACTCCACGTTTGTATCCTCACAGCTTTACTCCAGTGGAAAGATGTGATTCTTTCTTATAGTTCAACAAGATTCCTGGGTGTAAATTGGATCATGTGCCCACCCTGACCCAATCCTGGAATATGCTGACTGAATTTATGGTGGAATATGCTGGCTGGGGGGACCGAGAGAAATTTCTGGAGCTAAGGGTGTGGTTGCCTCTACCCAAACCACATGGACAGACTGGGGAGGTAGGCTGACTCCTCAAGGAAAATGGGATTATTTTATCAGAAGAAGGAATACTGAATAAGCAAAATCAATTTTCATTCCAGGGTTTTTCCAGCCAAGATAACTAGGGAAAATCATGTTCTGCTGTAGAGAAATCAAATCATTACAACTACAAAGTTGAGTCTTATCAGAATTCAACATTAAGAAACACATTTTTGGGAAAAAAACTATGGAATATAACATGCTACTAGAATAAATAAAAATATTCTATTAGCTTTTAGGGTTTTAGAAATGAAGGGCTTTCAGTTCCTTGATTTTACTACATATTGTTTACTGCACTTCCTAGTGGGTTTGGAAATTACAGCTTTATTGAAGCAGATGATTAGGTGGGGAAGAAACAGCAGAGGCAAAACAGCTGAAAGTAAATTAGCAATTACATCACAAATCACTTGGGAATATGAGGTCATAAGGGATAGTAAATTGGTGCCAGAAACAAAAGAATTTTCTTGAAAATTCGTAGGCATTGTTTCAGTCTCATACTGTTCAGTGAGCTACATAATAACAGCACAGAGAGGAAAAATCTTGTAGGACCGGCATAGCTCTGTAATCCCCCAAATGACTGTGCAGGGCACTGGTGAGCTCTGATACAGCTGTGTCTTCATCCAAGCTATTACCAGCCAAGATGTGGGGTTGAGAAGCTTGGTGAGATATGGAAGTATGTACAGTTTTGCCATCCCTTCCATTCCATAAGAACCAAGGCCCCTGCTACTCCTGGCTTTCCTTTTCACCCCAGGCCCTGCCACTTCCACACCAATAAACCAGGCCTGTTTGGTGTCTCATTCTTGGCACTGACTCATGGACATGATGGCCAGAGGATATCCAGCTCTCCGGGGAAGGTGGACAGACCAGCTTCAACTCACTGTGCTTGCTGAAGAATGATGTCTGAGGCCTATAAAAGGACAGTTATTTTAAGAGAATATTTTGTTCTCTGTAACAGAGAAGATTTTGCACTTTATCAAATTTACTTCAGTAAGTCTGAGAAACAGAAATATGCATGACACAACATCCGAGACACAGTGGGTACAGCTGCCATTTTCAGCATAGTTAAGTGGAATGATTGCAGCATGAAACTGTAAATAAAGCATAGTCATCCTACTGAAGTCAGAGCCCTCGTGGACAATGCTCTCTTCTTCAGAGCAGGAGGTGTGTGCTATTACCCTGCTCTTCTGCCTGTGGCAGGACACAGCAAGGATGTGGAGCCCTGTGCAGAGAAGATAAGATCCGTGACCAGTGTCTGTGTGCACACTGCACATTTAGCAGGAGTCATCAGAGGCAGCAATGCTTTCCCCAAGGATGAAGCCACACTTAAGTAGGGCCCTCTCACGGGGTCAAAGCTGCTTTCTGAATAGATCTGAGACAGAGGCAGATGACTCTGGAGCCATCTGAAGGAAGGCCTTCCTCACTCTGTCCACCTTCACTGCTGTCTCTAACTTGACTCAAAATGTAAAGTCCATGGCACCCTGAAGTCCAGCACATTTGAGACCATAAAGACCTTCCTTAGGCCCTTCAGAGGAGATTTCATGCTGTGAGGCAAAGCATGGGGTGTTGTCAGTGAGGGTTTTTCCTATTTAGCTGTCAGTGTATAGATGTTTAAATATGCACTCATCTAAAACCATGCAGTAATCATCAATGAAGGACCCATGATCCTCGAGTCAAGAAAGCATCTGCACACCTCATGCTAAGCACATGTGAAGCTGGACCATTGGGAATCCAGACCCAGTCTCGCCTTCTCTCTCATTCAGCCAACACTGAGCACCTACTCACATGTTAGGTCCTATCCAAGGGGCTTGGCATTCAGAGATGACTGAGATACAATCTCCTCTCCATGGGACTTATACTCTGTTTAGGAAACCATACACAAAATTACAAAATGGCATTATGGGAGCTACACAAAGGTACAGCTACTCAGAGGAGGTTATACGTTGGTGTTGTAGTAGAAGTAACATCTCAGAGTACCTTGTTTCCAGGGTCGTAAAAGTGGCTTGCATGGTGTGAATAACGTGTCACGAGGCAGTGCTGGGCTACAACTCTGGATACAAAGGGTCCAGGTTGTGAAGGGTGTACTCTAAGCAGTTCTAACATATACAAGGAAGCCACAGAGAGCCAGAGGGAAAGACAGAGAGTTGGGCTGAGGTGCCAGGGTGAATCATGAAGCAGTAGGCAGTGCCCTGATGTATTCACTATGGCATGGGCGAGCTTGTAGCATCTGTGTCCTGTCCACTGGAACTCTGACTCAAGGCCAAGATTGGCCAGACCTGAACAGTACTGTTCCAGAGCCCTGGAAGGCCTTGGTAGTCCCTCAGCTAGATTTATTCTGCAGGCCCACAATCTTACATGTTGCCAAAGCC